CGTTCGGGAAGCGATGGAACCCAGTATATACAGGGCGATCAACAGGGGTAATTACAAGCCCTTGTGAGTGTAATGGCCAAATCACTGATCAGGGTTTAGCCCCCGGAGGGTTGTTGTCCTTCGTTAGCGACACAAGTCGGAGTATTCTCCTCGTGGACACAGTGAGTGTAAAAGGTTACGGACGTCCGTTAAAAATCTCGACTGACTTTGGCGCGTCGTGTAACTATGCGCGGAAGCAAAGTGCTGCTGAAAATGATTCAGTGCTTTCGAATGCACTAGATAAAACCAATGGTTTAATTTCGGTGAAGTTGGCCTCTTGTGCGGTGGCCTTCACGAAAAAAAACGGTTGATTTTTAGCTGAAGTCCGCTGACTTCAGCTTAATAGTCTACCTTGGCTTGAAAAGTACAAGCCATGGATCGATTGGCGATCAAAAACGATTGCAAGTAGCTTTTCTGGCGCCGGTGAAACTCTTGGGAGTAATGTACCCACTTTCACTATGCACCAGAAGAAGCCTCAAAGTGCTAGACAGTCGTGTGCTGCTGGATTTGGTCCACCCTTTATTGGTCTATGGCATGCGAATGACATTTCCTAGGTAATGGAGAATACGGAGTCGTATGGAGTGGCCATGGGCTGTCACTCAGGATGTGTGTCGATGAATCAAGTGATGACCGGAACTGGCTACTTGTAAACGAATGAATCATTGGTGGGTATGGTGATTTGCCCAACGGACAGACTTTTGATGGAGTGATGCCGGTTTTGCATTCCTCAAGAGAGAAGTATGTTGTCGACATATGTGTAATGAAACTTTAAGGAAAGCGACTGTGGTTCGATATGCTATTACTCCGAGAAATACAGTGGTTGAGTTGGATGATGAATAAGTGGGTACAACTGACCACAAAGGTGATGCTCTCTTCGTTGTGTGGTTCAGCACACACATGTGCAGAAAAAACGAATATCATAGATTGTGGTGACGAGACTTCCGCTCTGGATGCGGTTGTGTCCGCGGGGGAGTGAGTCCAGCGTACTAGTTCTAATGATTGATTCTATCATGCAATTACGTATTGTGGATGCAACGACTGGTTATGATGTGAATAGAGCATATGTTTTTGTGGCACCGTTGCCGACGACAGAAGAGCTGGTGCGGCTCGAGGAGTTCGCTTAAGATGACTTATTACACGATCTCAAGTGCGATGACAATGCTGCTGTTGTGTTGCTAAGGTCGAAGATCGACTCAGCGGAACCACGTTTATCCGTCATGGAGGATGTGATTTTCCAGGAAATTTGACAGCGGTCCTGCAGAGGATCCGCTTTTCTGAAGGATTGAATTAATTCGTATGATTCACTTGTTGTGGAATATAAGCATGATGTCCTTAGCGTGAACCCCCCCTCTGGACTTCCACCCGAATGTTGAGTTCGACATAAAAATGGTTGTGGACCTGATTCAAAACATGAGGTGCTCTGACAGTGGTCACTATCGCGTTGACGAAGTGAGTACATTGATGAGTTCTTTGCACAAAGTAAGCTGCTGGTTTGGTGAGGGCGAGCAGTTCTCCTCACATTGCACCAGTCAACGGTTTTTTATGCCAAACCCAAATGATAAATGGCGTATCGTCTACGACTTTAACAAGTGAGAAGCGCAGACAATTCCCGCGCAAACGCCGATCTCGCGCTAGGATGTCATCATCTACCATATGTCCGGCGATACACAGTTAAGTGCTATCAATTTTAATTGATGGATATTACTAAGTCGTGATGTGGGAGGAGGACGTCCCTTTGACGGCTATTAGTACACCGCCCGGTATGTTAAGGGAGTGGCTTGCGATACCACAGAACGATTTTGAAGATGTTCTCGCTCAATCGAGAAAAGAAAATGGCAGATCAAGAGAATAAGTGCACTTGGAACACCTCCGTGCGTTGTTAAAATATATGCGTATAATTTAATGCAAGTGAATCTTACCAGTCTACGGTCGTTATGTTGGTAAAAGCAGTGTTCATGCAGACCCTGAGAAGGTCAAAGCATTCATGGAGTGGCCAACGCCACGAAATCAAAGAAAATTGAGATAATGAATTAATTTGTTCAATTACCTGCATTGCTTCTCGCGTGACTACGCGGATATGGTACGTCCGCTATCAATTCTGCTGAAGAGGGATGTATGATGGGAGTGGTCATCCACTTGTAAAGGAGTATTCGCTCAAATTAAGAACAGCTCGATGAAAGCACCATTACTTGCTATAACAGATGATTAAAAGCCGTTTAGTGTGGTGTGTGACGTTTCTGAGTTTGAAATCGGTTCTGGATAATTGCAAAAAGACTCGGAAGGGCACGATCGTGTCGTGTTCAATCGCAACAGCTGAAGCCAGCAGAAAAGAACTATCGTTCCCACGACGAGGAGTCGCGAACAAGCCTCGAAAACTGATCGTGCTGGCAGACGCATTGTGACGTCGTCCTGATTTTGAGCTAGCACGTATCAGTTATACCAGAAGCGAAGTACTTATTATGATATGTCGAGCGTATGTTGAGAATAAACAGTGCGATCCGATTTTTAGTGCACTGTCATCTAGTGACATACAATTTCTTCACAAGCTTGAAGTCAAGGCTGTAACGTTATGCTACGAAGTTGCACAACGATCGATTTGAAGTTATACGAAATGCATGTAACGCCTATGACCGGTCATTTTGGCCGTGAAAATACCTACCAGTCTCGAAGTAAACAATGTAGGTAGTCTTACATGTACAAGTGGGTGGCACGATACCTGAATATATGCAATGTCTGTCAGCGCATGAAGGGTGCAAGGCACACTGCAGAGTCTTCCTGTTCCTATTGACTGTCGGAATTCAGTCAGCCTCGACTTTATTTTTGGATTCCCCGGAACCGCTGACGGCTGCAATGGGGGGCTAGTGTTTGCTGAAAGTGGTTCGCATCGCTCTGTGTAGCTATTAAATCGATGCAAAAGGTTCAGCTTATTTGTTCATTGATCCCGTTTTTCGAATCATGGGTTGCCAAACTTCATCATCTTAGGTTGTGATACACGATTCACCAGTGTTTTTTGGAAAGAATTCTTGGTGTCCGCTGGAGTATGTAGGCCAGAGACCGATGGAGAAACCGAACGTGTCGACCGAGTTGTCGGTGATGTGTGTGGATTTCTGTACAAAACTTCCTGCGGAATGGAGTTCGATAGTTCGACTGGTTGACTTTGCTATGAACGCATAGCTCATTCATCCACTAAATTGACGCCATTTTTAGAAATGGCTTGCGACACCCGCAAATACCGGTCTGTGCAATGACTGGTGTCTCTAATGTAAGTGGGGGGAGAAGCTCGGCAGATTTTTGCCTCCCGAATAAAACAAAAAATAGTGCGGATGTTAAGCGCAAGATTATGAACGCCCTAGATTCGTTCATCATGAGTAATGGAATGTTATCACAAGGGTGCGAGACGCTATGGCGAATGCGCAAGATATGCAAAACGAACACGCAGATAAATGAGGTTGTCAAAGCAAAATTTCATTCAATTATGTACTCCTTAGTACTAAGAACCTATCAGACGACGCGATCCCAAGCATGCAAAGCTCAAAGCTATTACCTCTCTTCACCGGACTATTCTGAGTAGTATCATGCCGTGGGAATGCGTACACTATTCACCTGCCAAGCTGGCTAAAGATCCATCCGACGTTCTACATAGGGATCCTCAAGCCCAACCATCATTTCAACCTGAGTGTAATGCAGTCTTATTCTAAGGTGGCTTTTGAGCCACGGCTTCGGCACGAGGGTTGAAGTTTG